ATAAGTAATCATTGAAGCAATGCTACTTAACATAAACATTAAATTAATTACAAATGAAAAGAAAACAATACCTTGCATAAACTTGAAGGATTGAAGTTCATTGCATGAAGGAAAATTGTTTTAATTGAATATAGGAATAAATTTGTCTACTGGAATGAGGAAAAACAACCTAATTCTAATGGAATCTGTGCTGAAATACGAAATCTGTGCTGAAAAATCGAAATCTGGAAGCATGTGCAGAGAAAATCAAAGTATGAAAAGTTGTAGTTGTTTGAGTAGGGCTGGCCGTCCGTTCCTCTTGTGCCGAAGTTCCCTTTTTGTCCCTCTTGTGCCGGCAGTTGCTCAATCATAGGTAGTTTGTTGGAGTAGTGGGACACCTCACCTTTTGACCTAGTCTAATCCCCTTTCAGATTTCGCCACCTGTACTTTATCAGATAAAATCCCCTTTTAAACTGTGATCTTCCCCTATTTTCCAGCTGCCATTATCTATTTCTGTTTCAAGAAGATAATTACTCCATAAAACATTATCTTTACCTCTCCTATCTTACCAACACGTGCTGATTTGTCATGGGGCCCAAAATCCGAATCTGACATGGCTCAAACTCCTCCAGCCAATAAAAATTTTACACGTGACATTAATTTAAAATTTTGCAATTTATGGTGTAAACAAATACTAATAAAAAAAAAGAGTCCCTAAAAACACAAATTAAAAAATCTTTAATACAATAGATTTGAATAATAAAAATAAATTTAAAATAAATGTATTAAAGTCTTTTAAAAATAAAAAGTGAGATAATTAGATAAAATTATTCTAATTTAGTAAGTAAAATAACTAAATAAAAACTGATGGAGTCTTGCCAACGCCTGAAATATATTAAAATTTATGTTAAAGTGAAAGTTTTCAGAATTTGAGGTGGAGATTGGACCTCCATTCTTCAAACTTTTAAAATTATTGCATGGAACTTTTTGAGCAACCCCTCTCAATCTTATATTGTCGTCCCAAAGGGTGCATGTAGCCAATAGGAACCACAAATTCATTCAGTCACAGCTAGGATATTCGGTCTAATTGACTCAAAATACTAAAAGTGAGAACATGACAAGAAAAGAAAGAAAAGAGAGGAGCACATAATATGCGCCCAGGCCAAAAGTCCATAAACAAACTAATTATCAAAAAAAAGAAAAAAAGAAAAAAAAAAAAAAAAAATAAAAAGAAAAAGGACCAGGCAAATCCAACTAAGGATAAGGACATGTACACATAGACATCCACACATACATACATACATGCATATGGGATTAGTATTTATTAGCTTGACTTTTAAAAAGTTATATGAAGAAAAATATTAAAAAAATTTATGTTATTTTAATAAATTATTTTTAAAAAAATTAAAATAATTTTAATTTTGTTTTTAAAATAAAATTTTTAATAATTTTAATAAAAATTCATTAAAACAACACTCTGACATTTGTTTTTCCTTTTATTTTTTAAAAATCTTGTTGATAAACATGATTCTTCCTACATCTACATATACATACGATCACGCATACGTTTGCCATAGCCCCTTGATTGGATAAGCCAATAAGTCACTACTACTACCAAATTAAATAGAATGGTAAATTAACTTGAAGTTGGCCTCGCTGATAATTAAGGATTAGATTAATCTCCTATTTTGGACATAAATAACTTGTTTTTGGTTGGAATGAAAAGATTAAATTAATCAAATGGTGCAAATTGACTAAAAACTTAATAACTATTAGATTGTAACAATCTAACCTATTATTGTTTTGACTAATTATATCTCATAGTTTTAAAATGCATCAACAAAGATTAACATGTGTTGACCTACTTAGCATCTTTCTAGTATTTTGTTGATATGGGATTTGCCTAGGAGATTTACCTACACACCTCGCTTTTTGGGATTTAGGGTCCTAGTTGAGGCTTGCCTCACCACTGTTCAAGAAGTTATGTAAAGTGGTTCTGATGACATATGTATACAACTTAGTCCACTATTAATATTGTCTATTTTGACCCATTGGGTTTTATAATTTTAAAATGCGTCAATAGAGATTAATGGGTATTGATCTATATATTGAATTTTAAATCTCATGTTCAAACTTAGTATATAGATCAACACCTATTAACTTCAATTGACACATTTTAAAATCGTAAAACTCAATGGGTCAAAATAGACAATATTGCCCCATCTTGTTCGATGGGAGGATGTTTGCCAACCGAGAGCTCAAGGAGGTTTAGGTCTCTGCTCTATGAGGAATAATAATATAGCATTGATTGTTAAGCTTGGGTATTTGTTAGCTACTACTTGTAACAAGCCTTGGTGTTGTGCTCTTAGACATAAGTATCTGCATTCCTCCAACTTTATGAATTGTCCTCTTACTCCATCATCCTCAGTTGCTTGGAGGAGTATTTTAAAGTGTAAAGTTGGTATACAATGGAGGGTTGGTTTGGGCTCTTCCATTAGCCTCTTGAAGGATGTTTAGGTTGGATCCTTGAACTTGCTAGAGTATGCATAGGACAACTTGACACCCACACAATTAACGTATACGATGGCTAGTATCATCACCTTTGAGAGAAAATGGGACACTACCCAGTTGGAGCAATTCTTCCTTAACTCCATTATTAACTCCATCATGGCTATCCCTCTATCTGTAGATCAATGATTGGAAGATAAAGTTTACTAGGAGAGTTCATTGAGTGGAGAATTCTTAGTAAAGTTTGCTTACTATTTGTTGCAACAAAGTCAAGTTCCTACCTCCTTGCATGTTGGTGAGTGGCTTTGGATATGGCACTTAACATGTTGTGAGTGAATTAAAATGTTTGTTTGGCTCCTTGTAAGGGGTCAAGTTCCCCCAAGCTCAATTCGTTTTGATCGCCATGTAGCATCTTTTCTTATCTATTTGAGGTGTGAGTTAGCTCGTAAGACTCTTATGCACCTTCTACAAGATTGCTATTATTCTCACTTAGCTTGGGAGCACATTGGATTATTACCACAAAATTTCTTCTCCTTGGATTTTGACACATGGCTGAGGAACAATGCTACTAGTTTATGACGTGCTGGAGTCTCACACAACCACTAGCCTCCTTTTTTCTTATCCATGATTTGGTCCTTGTGGAAAAGCATAAACAAGTTGATTTTCAATGCTTGTAGACTCCCACCTACTTCTATTTATAATGAAGCTTGCACTTTGGCCATTGACACACAAATTGCTCTTACTTCAAATATTTTACAACCTCATTGAGCTTCAAGGTGGGTGAGGTGGTATTCACCCGACCCTCCATTCTTCACGTTAAATATTGATGGTGCCATGGATCATGGTTCTGGTTGTGCTTGTGCAGGGGAATTGGTTTGGGACTCAATGGGCCATTGGGTTCATGGCTTTGCAACCCACATAGGCACCACTTTGAGCTTTATGGGAGAATTGTGGGGATGTAGAGAAGGTTTAAAACTAGCTTACTAGTTGGGTATTGATCACTTAATTTTAAAGATGGATTCTTTACTTGCTGTCTAAACGATACAAGATAGAAAAGGGGTGGAAGGTCCTACTTTAGTCCTATTTGTTGACATATTTGACCTGTTGAGTTCCTTTAGTGTCTACTCTGTTCATCACACACTTAGGGAAGGCAATTTTGCTATTGATTTTAGGGCTTCTTTGGGGCATGGATTACCAGTGGCACAACTTACTTCATGGACCCTCCAATTGGTCTTAGTCTAATTCTTCAAGGAAACATAATGGGGACAATGTTCCTTAGAGTTTACTTGATTCTTTATATATAGCTTCCAATGTACCAATAAATATATATATATATATATACTGAATTTCTCTTATGTGCTTGTTGTTGATGTGAGATTTTTTTAGAGGTGTCATACAACTATTGAGTTAATTGTATTTAATTAATAAGTTCAAGGGTTCAATCTGCATATGAGGTATAAGCACCTAGGTTAAATTTACCCGCAATAAAGTTTGAGATACTCATCCTCAGTCGTACTCTTTATTTAATTTGCCTCACGAAATTGTTATAATTTGGCTAAAGAATGACATTTTTCTCACATTAATCCAAGTAAACAATGAGATATGAATCAAAGATTAACATAAACAAAGCTAAATTGAAAGGGGAATAATTGTTTTAATATGATGTGACTCCCCGTCAATGATTTAACACCATAAGGATAAAATGTCAACCGATCTCCCAATCCATATAGTCTGTTCTGAATCTACACAACTATTGCTTCAATTAATAGATTTTTTCCCACAAAATTAATTGAGACTTCACCTAATTCATTTAATTAATATAAATGTAGTTCGAGATGCCCAATTATCCATGCAAACTCATCATATATAATATGTTCATTACCAGACAATGTCATCGAAAAGCTGTATCTTGTCTTAGCTCATGCATCTGCTGTCTCTTGTATAGCTGTCGCTTGTTTGATTGTCTTAATTATAGATTTTTTCCAGCTAAATTGATAGATGTAATTAGCGGAAAATGAGTAAAAATTTAACTACTACAATGTTTGAATGAAGAACCCCAGTTTATTAAAAATAAGGTTTGATTAAGATTTAAATAGTAGGGGATTCGTCATTAACTCCAAACTTGGCATCTTTACCAAAAAAAAAAAAAAAAAAAAACCCTCCAAACATGGCATCATTTTTTTGGATATGAGACGTAATAACATTTTCTTTAAGTTATCTTTTGAGGGTTTTAATTTAAAATAAAATTTCACAATAGTTAGTACTCCATGTGGTAGTATTATTAAAGGAGGAGATTGGGCAAACAAAAATTTAATTAAATCAATACTTATTAATTTAAAAATATTAAGGGTTTAAATCTCTTTAATTTAAGTGACTGACACTCCCTTGCTAAATAAAAACAATTTATTAAAAAGAGTGCAAGTTTAAATTTCCTTTTTTTTTTTTATTAATTAGTGTCCTTTTTTTTATTTAAGATATCTAAATTCAAGATCTTATGTAAAAAAATCAAACTCTTTTTACTTGAATTAATAAATTATTGGTGGAAGTTTAAATTTCTTTATTGTCATTTGGGTAGGGTGAGCCTACTAGCCTCGCATATAGTATTTTACTCAGTAATTATGAACAAGGCAGGTTATATGTGCTTCCAAAATTAGTTAAGTTAATAGTTTGGACATCTATGGCAGGAAAATATACATATATATATATATATATATGTAATCGATATGTGGGGTCGAATCAGCGCAATAGATTTACTAGTTTATTATTAATTTTAAAAGTTGGAGTTCAAGTGATTAGAAGATTTATTTCCATCAATTACTTTGAATAAATTTCCTCCTACTCCCAAAATTCCCTATGTTCGAAAAAGAAAAAATCATTATGTTGGGCCGAGACGGGCTCAAAGCAACTAATTCTGAAATGAAACGGGCCTGAAAAGAGGCCTTTTGTTTTTGAAAGGATTAAAGCGAACCAAAAGACCCACAAAGGGTTGGATCAAGTGGTAAGTGACATGTTCTAACTTAAGTAAGGTTTCGAGTTCGAGATTTTGTATACACAGTAGTCTTCGTTGGGAGACTCACCCACCATTTTCAGGTGCACGACCCGGGTTGGTCCTGATTAGTCGGGACGAAGCCTCGAATACCAGGCGAGAAACCAAAAAAAAAAAAAAAGCGAACCAAGAGAGGCGAAACCGATTCTGCCCGACGGGGAAAAATCAAACACGGTAGGGAGGGAGGGAACTCATGAGAAGCGCCGGTGGATAAGGAAGATGCAAAGCCTTCACCATACTACACGGTAGGGAGGGAGGGAACTCATGAGAAGCGCCGGAAGATAAGGAAGATGCAAAGCCTTCACCATACCCATCCCTGTAAGTCTTTTACTATTTTCAATTCTTCAACACTACTGCATACTTCCGTTGCTGAACCAAAACCAGATCAGTACGTAGCTTTGAATGGTGTCCCAAGCAGCTCATATACCCAGTAAAAAGAACCGCATTTAACTTCTTTACCAGAGTACCTAAAGTCTCGCCATTTTCTAGGAAATTTCGATTCTTGAGAGATAACTACATTGTATTCTGCTTGCTAAATGAAAGAAGAGTAGAAGGTTATCGACAGGCCTTTCGCTTGCAAACCAGCAACCATGAAAGAAACTAGAAGGTTAATCACAAGCAGAGTGGTTCAAAGTAATATGCTAATAAATGCCTTAGCAATGTCTACTGATTACAGGAACCAAATCTTATCAGGGTGGGATGTAACAGATTTCACAAAGGAAAAACAGGGGAAATGGAGAGGAAGAGATGAAACACTATTCTTAAGGAGACGAAAACACTCTATGTTATCTAGAATCTAAGAACATGACATATATTAACTTCGGATTTAAAATATACTTAAAGATTCAGCATCCACAGTAGTAGGGCAGAACAATGTATTGGGCTTGAAATGTATATCAAAACCAAGCTTAAAATTTATCCATTTACTTGTTGGCAGGTTAGTATTCATCTAGCTAAAGACTTCATCAGAAAAAAGAGTCAATATTGGCTAAGTCTGTCTTTAAAATAAATAAATAGAGCAAAAGATACATGGCTGTCATCCATCAGCCCTTAATTTAGGAATAGACGCAAGATTAACCATTATTATTCAGTAACACAGCTAGATGTATATGATAAAGCACGGTAAATGTGTTATTACAAGACAATTACCATGGAATCCCTGACATATGCTTTTCAAGTGTCAAAAACCTCTTAAAATATTGTTTTGATAATCTATCTTAAAAGCGCTTAATATTTATAATGATGGTAATAGTGCCCCCTTCAATGCATAAATGTTTACATAGACTTGAACTTCTTGCCAGCCGAAACGACACTAAAACAAGGGAAATGAGTTGTAACACACTGCAGGAAAGAGATCAGTATAGGTTCCTGTGCCAGGCAACCTAATGCAATACCAGAAACATATAATCGCTAATTAGTAATTACTTTGTAAACTAAGTAAACTAAGTATCTGAAATAGCAGAATACACGACCATGATCAACCTGGTAATAAGCCTAGTTTGACAAAAAGGCACACTAGTGACTTTCATAGCACAAACAAGTTCAGTATCAGAGCCTAACAAGACAAACATGCACTCTTGGTTCCTTCCATTTGAACTCCAGTAGTCCTTTCAAATTTCAACCCATTTAGCATTGGGACACACAGTGCATAAGAAAAACAATCAATCTTCACTTTGATTTTGTTGTAAGAGAGAAATAGACAATGAGAACCAGGAAAGGACCAGTACTTCGACTTATCTTGGATTGGATTCCTCATTAGAATAGGTAATAGAGTTATCTCTTCTAAAACAGCACAAGACTGCAGCCTGGTCATGGTTTAAGTTTAACCATGCAATGCTACCATCTCTAATCCCTGCCTTCATTGTTTTACTTGTAACCATTTTTTCCCATATTTCAAGATTTTACTCCTATGCCGAATCCTACCACCATTGGCAAAAAGAAGCTACTTGTTTTGGAAATTGATTTGTAATAACCAAGCCTAATAAAAAAGCACATGACAATTGACAAGTAAAGAGCAAACTGCAAACTCCATAAAACAAATCAGCACCATCTTCTATTAACAGCATGCACTTACAATGTATGTTACTAATATCATTAATCCATCTAGACATGCAAATGTATGACAAGGCAAAAACTTTTAGCTCTAGAAAAAAAATGCAATTTCCCAAACTGAACCATCAAAGCATGAAATGAATTGTCAAAACTACATTAATCAATTATTCAAAAAAAGTCTGTCATAACAATAACAACAATTAACAGGAAAACTAAATGATCTCTGAAAAGATCAAAAGATCAAAAGATCATAAATAACGAAGCATTGAGGAGTTTAAGCAGAAACCCATTTGAAGCAACCTCATTGATCTTCCATTTCCAACTGTTGGAGCTCAGCCTTTAACTGCTCAATCTTGAGTCCCATAGAACGCTGCAGGGCTGCCTTTTCGGGCTCTGATATCTTAGTCATTAGAGCCTCATACTTATCCAGAACTTCCTTCACGGCAGTCTTAGCAGACTGTGCTTCTTCATTGAAGTAGACAGTCTCTTTAGATTCCATAGCCAGCTCTATCTCCTCCCTTGCCTCTGCAAACTTGAGATTAATCACATCGACATGTTTGTTGATGTCAACATCAGCCCCAGACTCAGCGCCTGACTCGGTAGTGTATCTTTTAGAGTTCTGGGACCCTACGAATTGGGCTTGTGATTGAAAAAGGTAGGATTTTCTGGAGAAAAAATTAGGGCTTGGAGACGGGACAAAGATGGAAGTGAGTTGAGTTTCAGCCTGAAGGAGCGACTTAAGGGGAATCGGAGATATGGGTCTTGGAGAAGACGAAAAAGGGTGTTTGTGAAGAAATTTTGTGAGATAAAATCTTGAACTGTTCTGCATTTCCTGACCCTCTCCGCTTTGATTCCAAACTCAAGAAGGTAAAAGCCTTGGAAAAAGTCAGAGTTAGAGGACACAAGTGGAGAGGGAAGGCGTAAACTCATTTTAAGAACGGGCCTCTATTTACAAGGCTAAAACCAACTTTGAGCCCCTCACCTTACGAAATTGATAGGTTTTAACCCCTAATCTTATAATATAATACTTTTAACCCTTTATATTACAAAGATGATAGGTTTTAACCCTTCACTTTACAAAATTAGTAAGTCTTAACTCCTCATCTTATATTAGACATTTTTAGCCCTTTATTTATATAAATTGAAGAAAATAACTCTCAATTAACATCAAGTTATAATATTCTGTTAGTTTTGTTAGTTAAATGTCAATTTTATTAGTTGACTGTTAGTTCTATTAGTTGATTGTTAGTATCTATTAGCATTCCGTTAGTGGAATTAATAAATAAAATTGAATTTAAATTTCATCTTTTATATAATGAAATGCTAACGGATGTTAACAGTCAATTAACAAAATCAACCGAATGTTATGACCTAATATTAGGTGAGAGTTATTTTCTTCAATTTGTATATGTGGTGAGCTAAAAATGTCATAATATAAGGTGAGGAGTTAAAATTTACTAATTTTATAAGGTGAAGGGCTAAAACTTACCAAATTTATAAGGTAAATGATTAAAAAGTGTGATATTATAAGATAAAAGGTTAAAACTTATCAATTTTATAAGATGAGGAACTAAATATTGGTTTTTGCCCTATTTACAAATGGTAATGCCCAAGCCCAATGTCACTGCTAAGTGCAAACTTGGGTTGAAAGTGGAAACGAATCAGAACCGAA